AGAGAATGATAGCCATTCCGCTTTATTATCTGAAATGTATCAACTTAATCACAGCTCCATTCTCTCCCAGTTCTCCCCTGGGCTCAGTGGGACACACTGAAAGAAAATTGGAAAAGTATAGCTGAGATGAAGGTAGGAACGAATGGAGATGGACAGAGCAGGGGGATGGGAACCCGTACGAAGAGTAACTACCGTAAAGGGAAGGACAGAAATACTCAGAGGAGAGGGAGAAAAAGATGGGAAGAGGGAAGTGATAAACCTGTGAATTTTTCATGGCCAGCCGTTCATAATTGCAACGCTTTGTACCCTGAGAGCTTTTAAAGTTGGCCAACTTAAGTGCGAGGATTTACATGTGTGTATGTGTGTGTGGAACTGATGGACTGGGCTTCATTATAGGGACTCCCAAAACACTCCCTTTAGCCATTCACACTACTGATTCAGGACTTCCCGAAGTTACAATAGTGACTATTACCCTCAGATAGGAAACTGCACCACCTTAAGGCTATTAAAGCACTTTAACTTTTCCTTTTGTCATATACATCCAAAGATAGATCTGTTGAACTAACCGGAAAGTGTCTGAGCAATCAAAAATGATCCTGCTCTTGTTTTCAAGCAGTTACAAAATTATTTGATCAAAGATGACAAGATCACTTTGCAGTTCTAGGTCATTCGATTCCTCTCTCCTCTTCATGCAAGATTAATGTTTTACGTATGATAAGCTTTAAACACAAAGAGCTAACTGCTGTGTTTGTTTAAAAGTTGACAGCTGCAGCACCTTGCAATAGTATTTACGCTCCTCATACTTTTTTAGATTATGTCACGGAAGATTTTTTATTACGTTTTTTATGTCATAAACTGACAACAAAGCAGTGCTTAGTTCCTAAGTGGAAGAAAAATAATTCATGAATTTTATTAATCTTTTAAAAGTATGGTGTGCAGATCCTTTTGCTTTAAGACCCCCAACTGAAAAGCACGTCTGTGTAAATTAAGCTCAATACACACATGCATTTGTTCTATGAAGGATTTTCTTGAGAACATTTCGGAGCAAGAAACCAGAAGGATGGAGGAACCCACTTTGGAGAATTACATGATAAAGTAGTCGTAAAGTCTGAAGGTTACGAGACAATGTCCCAAGTTTCGGATATCTCAGAGAGCATTGCTCAGTTGTTCGTTGAACATGGAAAGAGGTTTGACACGACTCCAAACCTGCTGCTTCACAGACAGACCAACAATGAGAGAGACTTGTGGTAACTCTGGAGGAGCTGCTGATATGCAGAGGTCATGTATGAGAAACTGTGGAGAGGATAATTTATGAGTCAGGCGTTCCAAAAAATCTGGTCTTTGTGGAAAGTTACCCAGAACAAATACGTTGTTAAAAGAAAGCTATACCTCTTGTTTAAAAATGCCCAAAAGATGTGCATGGGACACAGTAGACATGAAGAAGAAGGTATTCTGATAAAATCTAAATAGAATTAAAGTTTTTGGCCTTCATGCACTATGACATGTGTGGTTAAAATTACCCGCAGCTTATCAGAGTGATGTGACATGCAAATGTGTTACAGTGATGCATGGTGGTGGCAGCATTATGCTGTGGGGATGTTGTTTTTGAGCAAACCATATTGGAAGCTTGGCACATTATTGGGAAGATTTGTATGTTATTTAAATTTTTTATTCAACTTTTTTATTTTATTTTTATTATTATTTTTTTTTTACAGCTTGTCTCATAAAAAAGAGACCTGATTTGAGAAGATGGGGGGGAAAAATGATGGAGCTAAGTACAACGTAATATCGTAAGACACCTAAAAGCATGAGTGGGACATGAGCTCCTCTGGCAGTAGGACAAAGACCCCAAGCCCACTGTGGACCAGTTTAGATTAAAACATATTAATATGTTAGAAATGTGTCAGAAATCCAAACCTAAATCCAGTTGAGAATCTGATGAAGAAGAATGGACAAAAGTTCCAGTCTCTTGATATGAAATGCTAGTAGATAAATACCCCATAAAACCTACAGCTGCAGTGGCTCTGAGACATAGATTTTAATTTTCACATAAAATTCAAACATAATTTTTATTTCAGTTCAAAAATAATGTGCTATATTCTATTGGACAGTGACATAATTTTGCCTTAAAACACAATAAAGTTTAAAAGTTGCAACGTTAGAAAACGTGTGAAGATTCAAGGGATGTGAATACTTTTGCATGGCCCTGTATTCGGTGTGATGTGGCACCCTGTCAGAATCCATCAATAAAGCACTATGCAGTTCACACGCACATGCGTGCGCACAGACACAAGAGCACAAATCTCACTTGTGCAGGTTAATAATGAGCATAATCATCCATCTTCAACACACAAAGACACACACAAACACAGTTTGGCAGTGCATTGCCATGTAAGGGGAAAAAACCACTGTGTGTGTTTACACTAAAACACAGCTAGTCTGAGTGGCTTTCGAGCCCAAGCAGAGCAGGCAAGTTTAACAAGCCTTAAAAAAGGCAAACACACACACACATGCAGCCTTTTTGCCTTTGTCTTTTTCCTCAAAGAAGAAGAAGCCCTCTGCATTTTCTCATTTATCTCGTTACTCCGAAATTTGACAGGAGCAACCTGTCTGGTCAACATATTGTGTGTGATAATAAAAGCCTTGCATCCCAAACAGGATGTGTGAAAGAGCAGGATGAGTGTCTGTTATGTCAGTGGCATTAAGTTTGTCTCTGGTCCCTTCCTCTGCTGTACTCTGCCTACATTACAAGCACTTGCTTCTTTTTCTCCGGCAGAGAGTGTATATCGGCATGCTTATCAGTGTCTACTCCAATCTGTGTACATATGTGCGTGTGTGTGTGATTGAACACACAGGTCAGAAAGGCAGCATTCGTTCTGTGAAGGCCCATAAACATCAGCATACCCTTTTAAGGGATTGTTTAGATTGACAGAACAGGAAAATAAACGTTCTCAAGGAGGCGGGCACTCTTTGCTGACCGTCAGATCGCTGCGAGCAGGATAACATGTGCATGTAAGCATTTATGGGTGTCAGTTTGTGTGAGCTAAGCCTGATATGACAGGTCCTTTTTGGTTTCTTTGGCGATCAAATGGCTACTTACCATGAACCCTAACTGACCTCCTTTTTCTTCCTTTTCTGTGACCTCCCCGATCGTAATATATCCTCTTCCTCGGTAGATGGAAACTGTAAGCAGTGCATACCTTTCCGTTTTTCTTCCTCTCCTAAAAGCATGTTTTTTTATTTTCCCTTCACCTCCGCCCCATGAGGTCACCCCTACGATAACCTTCTCTACTTTCCAGCAGAAACGTCTCCTTGTCTCTTGTTTTTCATTCGTGGCCTCTTCCTAATGCTGAGGAGTTGTTGTGTCTGGATAGCAAGCAACATGTGGAATACATCAAAACCAGGTCCGTCTCCCTCTGTCTTTCTGCCTTTTATTCTCAAGCATGCAGCTGTACGCAGATGGATCTCGTAGCGGCGCGCTGGCCTTCTTAAAAACATCCAACGTGAGGAAATGGGGTGTCTGTCCAGCCGTGATTTAGGTCAGGGAGAAACAAGGATGGGAGCATTCTCTGTTCTCTGTTTATTTGAGGCAGGAGCCATTACTGCTGTCTCTGAGTCGTATTTATACACAGACACAGAACAGACGAGGCTCGATGCAGCTCCACTGTTTTCTTTTTTTTTTTTCCTCCCTCGGTGTCTGGATGAAAAAAGAAAGGGCATGCATATTATGTGACTCATGAGGGAGATGTGTGTCTGTGTACAATGCACAGTAAAAATAAACTGCTGTGATTTGTGGTCTGGGCCTAATAGAGGATGGGCCGGCGCTTTTAGCGGGAACAGTGTGCAGTGCAGGGCCTCAGAGAGGCAACATTAGAAGTCTACAGGGACTTCTGGCTTGACTCCAGGCCAGTCCCAACATACTTGATTCATCCAGTGAAAGACATCTAATCACCAAACTGAAGTAAAATAAGCAAGCAAGTCCATCTGCTGTGTGAAGCATGAGTTCAGGGTTTGCAGAGTTAATGAAAGTGTGTATATGTGTGGTCCAGGTATTACTCAACTCAGGAAAAGCTAAGTCTGTTTACAAAGTTAGGGAAGGGTGCGTCTCTTTTAAAAGTGCCTAAAGAAAGTTTACGTGATGGACAAAAATTATGTTTATGGGTGGAGATGTGTATTTAATGTCATGGGTAAGGTTTTTTAACGGTAAGGTGAGGGTTCTGATTTCTAGGTTCTATTGGTTGTAGCAACTGTGTCCGACTAATGTATAGGGTATCTTGGCCCCACATTTATGCTCCAAACATCTAAAAATCACATTCCATAATTTTGAAACTCATTTCACAATTGCGTCTTGGGTTATATTGTATTTCCATGTCCAACATTGAAAAAACGAAATATGTGCAACAAAGAATGAAAGAAGAATGAAAAAGTAAACACAAGGCAGCTGAGAACTCCCTCGAAAGTTGCTGAAAAGTCATAACATTAGATATGCTAAACACAATGGCTGCAAAAGAAGAAAATCCATATCTATGTCCTCATGTCTGTGCAGGGTGATGGCGAGCGGTGCCTATCTCCAGCGCTCATTGGGCGAGAGGCAGTGTACACCCTGGAAGAATATTATGAAAGCTAAGTCTCCAACCTAAATTTGAGTTCATAAGATTCATATTTATATCACAAAAGTAATGTAGTCTGACAGCAGTAGCTTAGAGACTTCACACATTGGCTCACTAGATTGGGATTTAGGTTTTCTATGGTGTGACCAGTCTCATGTGCTAAATGAGACCTTGAAGCAAAAAATATTTGCCTAATTGCTCAAATCTAGCCAGCACATAGATGGAAGTTACATTTTTTACTCCAGTTATGAGCAGCATTGCTGCGCCGATGCACAGATGTCCTTTTAGTCCCAAAAAGTCTTTCAACAGAACAGCCCACAGTGGTTGTGTGAAACCAGTAAATGGTAGTTGAAAGTCTCAGTTTCCTACAAGTGTAAGTTTATGTTTTACTCAAGTCGGTTTAAAGTCATTACAATATAACAGCTGTCAAAAATGTTGTTAGACCACACAATTTGTACCACAACTCTAACTCTTTAAGTTTGTATCAGGTTTGGCCCTGAAAAATCCCACTGTGCTTTCCTGCAAACTATTACTTACACTCCATTACTTGGCTCAGACACTAAGAAATGACCAGGTGGTGCTACAGAGGATTGGTTGGATTCTCTCATAATAAGAGGATGGTTATTGTATTGATTTATAACAGAAAATGCAAAGAAAGAGGGAAGGCAAAAAGCAGAAAGAATAATGAAACAACACCTTTTCTTAATTTTTACTTTGCCTTTAAGTGACACTTTGTGGTTGCTTGATGGCCCGACACCATCAAGAGTCACCGCCATAGACTGGTGACCCGACTTTATCATGAACTGCACTGTTCTCCTCCCTCAGCAATAGAGAGATTGTTTTTGGTAAGTAAAAAGAAATAAATTTTTTTCAACTGCTTGCTTTCAAGAATGTCACTACTTATTGGCAAAGTCAGTCATTTTACTGTATTACTAAAAAGCGTCCACTCTTTCATCTGACGCATTTCAGTTAGGTCTTTTTAATTAACACAACTTTTTTTCTTTGCAGCAGCAGACGTCATGTAGTTTTAGACACTGTGATTCCATTAGCAACATTATCATCATCAATTTAATGTTTTTTTTCTTCATGATTTGGAGTGGTGTGTATTAGTGCATTTTAAATTTATATCTGCTTTGGAAAACAATTGCTGTTGCTTTTATTTGTTTCATGGTTTCAGTTTTGTCAGTTTTCTAATTCTAAAATATAATATTTGGACATTAAACAAAGAACACAAACAAGCAGACACAAATCTACCACAAAGTATTTTTGTGAATAAATACTGATACAATATTTATTTGAGCAGTACTGTGTATATATATATTTACATATATAAAGACATCTATATAAATAAATAAGCTTCCGTCTCTACTGATATTCAAGAGCTGTGTTGTACCCTCCAGTGACATCTGTCATTTAGAAGAAGACTATGGGAAATCAAGAGAGTTTCAAGTGCTCTTATAAAAAATTGAGATGTCAAACATAAGACAGGCTTAAAGACTCAGTTTGACAAATTTGAACGTAAAATTTTTAACATATAACTCAAAAGTTCTTCGATTTTTTTTGTACTCATCTGCTCTACTTTAGCTCCATTTCTAACGTAATCCTTCACCCCATTCTGAGGTGAAGGATGTCACAGACTTCAAGGGCTGCAACCCTGACAGCTGTCAAAGTGGAAGTGACTTCTTCTGGTTCTTAGTGGTTGTTCTGTTTTTTTGTTTTTTATCTTTTTTTTAAAATCAAATCTAAATCTTTCCCGTAGCTTATAAAATCCAACTAATAATTGGTGATGACACTGTTTGGTTTCTCAACTGAAAATGTGCTGGTTGGCATTTTGTTTGTATTTGCATGTTCTCTCTTTGAAACTGTCAGATTTGCCCCTGCAACAAACATACTCAATTTGTTTTTTGTTACATCTATTGTCGCATCGCTAATGAAGAGGTTCCGTTTTAGAGACTTAGTAAATGTCTCTAGCAGTTCTGAATATGATGCAGTAATAGAAAACGGAAGAAAGTGAATGTAAATCCATGACTGAGTGTGCCTCCGTGTGCAGCCTGGTTATGTCGGCTCTGTCTGCTGTGAAACAGTCCCATGGCATCTATTGCCAGTCTGTCATTACTGCAGGGTTGCCACAGCTTGTAAAAGCCTCGTTAACACAAAGGCCTGCTCACATGTTAATTGTCTAATTGACTAATTAATTTTTGCATAAAGGCACACACAACGAAGAAAGATAGCTAATTGAAAGTGACTATAGGTTTAATTACGTTATGAAACACTGAGGAAGAAAGAGCCGTGAAGGTGGCCCATTTAAATACCATATTTGTTTAATTCGTCTTATTTGTTTATGAACTCCTCGCTCTTGCCTGTTTTTTCATGCTTTTTTTATATTTAGCTTTTCATCTGCTGCGGCAATCAACTTGAAATGATTCTTATTTGTGTGTCTGACACATTGAGAAAGACTGACATCAGATTCAACGCTATGATAACCTTGGAAAAAAATATCCTCGCTTCACAATGCAAATTACAAAAACAACAAAAAAAGAGAAATGCAAACATAATTTAATTTCTTTTAATAAAAAACTAATATGGAAGTTTTCTTGCTACTTTAATTAGAATAATTAGAATAATATATTATCATAAGACAGTGAAAGAATATTGCTGCATGTGTTGAAATTTACTCAGGTTTCGAAGTTGTGACATGAAGATTGAAATCCTTATGTTCCCATTAGATTGGAATTGTTTTATGGGTTATTTACGTATTTAAAAGACATGCCAACTCATCCATTGTTACTCTCATGTTATCTGAGTTATAGCTTGGTTGGTTTGCCACTTTGCAGACATTCAGCACAACAGTGTCCCTTTTTTTTCTTCAGGAAAGTTCAGGAGAATGCATTTCCTTTTTGTATCACACACAGCTAATAATTAGCTTCCACCAACAGGATATATGCTGACTTTCATACTCTGTTGCCAGAGTTTGTTCCAAAACACCAACACATTTCTGTAACTAAGGGAAATTGCAATATCAATTTCAAGACAGCATTTTCTTGTGAAAAAAAAAATTACAAGCCCTGTTTAGAATGGAAACTTAAGTTAATATACAATATTAATATGCAAAAGATATGCAACTATGTCTTGTCTTTCAGTTTTTCAGCAACTATTCACTTACTGCCAGACTACAGCAGCAAGTTGAGTAAAGAGACTCTTACTTTAAATTTGACTTTGGCCCTAGTGTCAAAACAGCATTACTTTGAAAAAAAAAAAAAAGGTGGAACTCTTACTGTATCGAATAACATTTTCTGTACTTTTTAGCACCGGAAAAGTTTCCAAACAGCTGTTTTCTCTTTTTCCACCAAGAGAGAAAGATAATTCCCTTTCTTCAGACAGAGTATGCTGCTTACTGACAGCTAGCAGCAATACTTGGTGAAAGGGGAGCAAGAAGTTAACAAGTTATTTCATCCATTTCAGAAATCTGCAGCAAGCTGCTTGTACAGCTGAAAGTCATGCTGACTCTTGCTGCTAGAATTTGTATCAAACTCCAGGGGTATCCAACTAATAGTCTTTGGGATTTTATGCATCCTGACAAAGCTAAAAAAAAAGTCCTGGAGATTTTTTGTTTGTTTGTTTGTTTGTCCATCAGTCGTCAAACACAATTGACTGGCAACAACAGGTTGCTGGGGCATTACTCCACACTTTAAGTCTCTTGTTCTTCTTAAAACATGTTAAAACTAAGGGAACAATATGTCCAAATATTTTACTGTGACTGCCTAATTTGGATGAAACATGGTATTTCAGACAGTGACTAAAATGGAAACCAGAATCTACAGTAAAGCTGATTGAAGCTGCTTGTTTTCCTGAATGCTTTTTGCATATTCCCTTCTTTAGCGTGTTGCAAAGAGATAAGTCAGGTGTGACTGACAGGTACAATTTCCCTCACAGTTCTGCTGCGGCGAGGCTTTGGTGTGATCATGCATTCGCATCAACAGTAATCTAAGTCCAATTATTGAACAGTATGTAAAAGTGACACACACACACACCCCCACACACACACGCACACACACACACACACACACACACACACACACACACACATGCACAAAACAAGGCAGAGACAGAAGGAATGTCCTGCTGAACAAATGTCTGTTAATTCAATTCCTGCCCACCGCTCACTAAAAACACCACCACAAATTAAATTGGCCAGGAGAGCAGACGGCTAACAAAGGAAATTAACAATGATGCTGCCTCTGTATTAGGCCATATGGATTCGCTGCATGTTTGCTGCGTGTGCGTAGCTGCAGCCCTGCGCGTCTGTACGCAAAGAGAGGGTGGGGAGAGGCCAGTTTTAATCAAGAAATCCATTCCACTTTTCTAACCCCTCTTCACTCCACCTCCTCCTCCCCCAGTAGCAGACTTGTGTGGAAACAGAAGTGCTAAATTACCCTGGAGCAGTCAGACAAAAACATCTTGTTGGGTTCTAAATTGGTTTGCATGCATGTTAATTGGACAGAAATCCCTGCAGTGTATTTGGGGTTGTTTGAGCATTTTTGTGTGACTTTGCGAGTGTGTTGCACCGCGCCGTATCTGCCCGTGCACAAACAAGTCCGCGTGCAGTTTTTGCCTGTGTCTACGTGCGAGCGAGTGCCGAGCAGGATTTGCGAGCTATTATAGCTGCAATGGCTTGCAGAGATTTGGAGGTTATCTGTTTTTGTTGGTTAATTGTGGAGCTGATATTATCGAGAGTCCGGGCCAATTCAAGTGGGCTTTCAGCCAAATTACCTCAGTAATCATCTGTGTTCAAGTCCCTCAATGGCCTCGCTAAGACACAGCCTTGGAAGCCCTGAAGTTCAGCGGAGAGGGGTTAAATCTGACCCCAGCTTTAGACAGCTTACACTGTAATTGAAATTATATATTTTCTCTCCTGCTGTTACTGGATCGCTGGCAAGATTCCACCAAAAATTTATCCTGTTTGTTTTTAATTAACGTGGGCAGCTAATGAACTCCGAAGGGATCTTAGCCAAATGATCAGAATTTTCTCAGTTTTCTCGCTGTAATCTTTAAAGCAGCAGGGCTTTGAAATTAGAGCATGAAATTGTTTGAAAGCAGTGCAGGAATTCGCTCAGATGAAGCCCACAAACACTAAGTCCAATACACACAGAGAGGACACTGCGTTTGTAAATGACTAAAACTAGCGATTATATGAAGCTATATAACTAGTTTATTGTAGCAGGGGGATGAAAGGCTTATGAAATACAAATAGTGTTATCAGAAATGTTTTTCTATTTAGATTTAATTAATTCTGAAGTAACGTGCGCTGTATATACACATTTAGCATTTTACGGTTATGGTTTTTTTAGAGTCTCGGTCTCACTTTCTGTTGTTCCCTTTGATAAGTCGCCCCACACACGTCATTGTCAGAGTTGCAAACAGTGAAAGGGTTGTAAAATAAATGAAATTAATGAAATGGAATTAAAAGAACTGGGTAGATTTCTTCGCACGGTCTCCTTTTAAAATGGACTTCTGCTTCTCTGGCAGACAAAAGCTGCCAAAGATTCTAATCTTTACTGCTGTTCTTTGGTAAAGACATGAGCATTTATGAGTAGCAAATCTAACAAGACAACAAAAGAATCATAGGTAACCAAGACTTATTATGGGCCTTGTCCACTAAAACTTCTTGACTGAAGAATATAACATTTTTTCATCTTAAATCACTATTTCTGTTTCCCTGGTTCTGAATAAAGTGCAGCAGCATTTGTGACCTGTTTTTCCATTAAAGACCTCCAATTATTACTCAGAACTTAAAGTTGTCTTCATCAGAAAAGATACCACTACCGTATGAGAAATGGTGCCCATTCTCAACTGGAACATGTCAAGGTCGATTAGTTTTATTAAAATGTTGTATCAAATGTCAAAAGCAGTAACTTACACACATGTTGAAGTCTTTGTATTCAACTCTTCCAAACACATCTGCAGCCATGAATGCAGCGTCTACTGTAGGCATGCAGACGCTTTTGATATAAAACAAAAAATAGGTTTTTCTCAGAAGCTCAGTAAATTCTTTGATTGGAGGATACCAATGCAATCAGTCCAAATTTACTCACCACTAAATTCACTTATTACATTATTACAGTAATGTGGGAGTGATTGGGAATGATAAAGCAACACAGCCACGATGTGGTAGGGAATGTAAAACCACCAAGCCAGATCAGCAGGTGCTGAGGTCCATAGTGCACGGAGGTCACCAACTATTTGTAGAGCTGAAAGCTGCAGACCTCCAAGCTTAACGTGGCCTTTGGATTAGATTAATAACAGAGAGTGGAGAACTTTAGGGAGTGGACTTACTTGGCCAATCAGCTGCATCCAAACCTTAAGTGCTTCAGATGGGGATGCAGGCATCATATTGTCTTGATTAATTTCTAGTATCTGTTCCTATAAAATAAAAATAAAAGATCTTATGTCTCCTGTCCTGTCTGTTGTCCAAATGAACTCCAAGGTATTTCTACTCCTGAACCACCTCCACTTCTTCTCCCTTCATGGAAATAGTTTGACATAATCTTGGAACTCTTAAACTCTACAATCATCTCTTTTTTTTCTTTTTAACATTCAAGGGAAGATTCAAACCATGCCCCATTTTCTTTTTCAAAATCTTCCTGTTATAAGATTTTTCAAGACTTTTTGCACCTGTGGAGCCAGTAATTCTGTCTGGCAGTGTATATACAGTATTTCATTTTAGTTTCAGCATCTCGGGTTGTACCGTAGGTTTTGTGTCTGTGTGCAGCGTGAGCAATTAATAGAGATCTTCACTCCGTTCTGCAGGAAAGTGTGACAAGATGTCACCATTTGTCACTGTCACTTAGTTTTGCCTTTACATTTTTTTTCTTCTTCTGAAAGAACATTCTGCTGAGCACACAAACAAAATATGCAAAAAGGAGCCAAACACCCACAGACACGCAGCACTGTAAGAAGCTGTGAACATAAACACTTAACCCTGGAAAGATTCAATGATGGCGGATAAAAGAGTGATTTGTGTTCTGCTAAGGGGAAAATGAGTAATCCTATCACTCAGCGTGACATGCAACACAACACGCCGCATCAGTCACAGACACAGACGCACACACTCGACACAAAATGCTGCCTATCAGAATGATAAAAGCGTGCCTCACCCACACAATAAAGCGTTTGATTTTTCTATTTTCCATGCTGTTCATTTTTCTCTTTATACTGCAACAAACCTCCTTCATTCTCTTTCCCGCTGGCATTACTACCCAACACAAGTACGCATATTTGTGTATTTATGTAAATATTTCATGTAATCTCTGTGAAAAGTAGATATATTTATGAGCTTTAATACCTTTGTGCTGTAATTCTACACATGCTGAGCGTTGGGTAATACATCCTCAAGACACACAACTCTGGGCCTCATACAGAAATACACATTAACAGTGAGCTTGCACTGGGTGCATACCAATCCCCTGGTCTTTCTTCTTCCTGCCAGGGCATTAATTCCTCCCCATATTTCCATCTGATTATGGTTCTGTTATACCCGCAACTAATTGAACATTAAATATAAAGAAAGTTAATGAAATTGTCCTTTATCCCTTCCAAACTGGGCCTGAGAATGCATCTATTAACTCAAATTAATCTAGCCCCAGTATGTGTTGTAGGGGATAAGATATATGCACTGCTTGCTGTTTTCATCTCTGACCCAAATTATGATTCTTTCCTTTGAGCTGGTCGGTTCAATAACAAAAACCTTGTTCTCTTCCTCCAGAGAATTCCTGCAGAGTCTTCCAGGATCCTCACGTCTGCTCCAAAACATTTTTGACATCGATGGTGAGACTTTCTGATTGAGATATTCCTCTCATGCTTGTTTCGGAGCATGGGTTGACCACCGAGATCCGACTGGTTGGATTTTGATGCAGTGTGAATAACTTCGCAGGTGTTGGATTGGTCGGGTGAAATAAAAGTAGTATTAACCCTTGAACATTGTCACATTTTGCCATGTCACAACCACAAACTTTGATGCATTTCACTGGCACTTTTTTGAGAGACCAACACAAAGTAAAGCTCTTTTCAGTTGTGTATTCAGTCTCCAGAGCTCATGCTTTGTAGAACCAGCTTCAAATAGCAAAAGAAAAGAAAGAAAGTCACTTCAAGTCTCTGCCAGCTTTTTAACGGTCTGCACAGTGAATATCGTGTCCATTTGTATTTGCAAATAGCTGAGCGCCTCAGTCAGACTGAATGGAGAATGTCAATTTTCAAGTCTTTCATGGGGATGTGCAGTGTTGCTGTTCTGCAAAATAGTGTTTTTAACGCAGTCATAATTAGCATTATACAAAATAAATAAAATCAGTTACATTTTTGTTGTATTTTCTACATGGCTTGTGGAAAACTTCACTAAAGCCTCTTCTTTAGGTCCTTATAGAAAGACTTAAATGAGATTCCTTGAATGAGGATTCGTAAATTAACCATAGGGAACAGCTATGGTTGATTTCATTCGATCATAGCTGTCCTCTTTCTATGCTTGCATTAGGGTCAGATGTGGAGTACACTCTCCTACCTTCATTTGTGAATCGCTGCAGCTCCTGCAGAGTTTCCATGGTTCTCTTGGCTGCTTTCCGGTCAGTTCACATAGCCCCGTCATGGTCAATTTCCAGTTGTGTCGTCCTCATTCAATTTTTGAATTAACAATTGAACAGGAAGCTTAATTTTTGAGCTGCCTGCTGTGTTCTTTGGTATCCAGGAGACTTTATATTTCTTTCACTGATGTTCTTTGAAGAAACTCTGAGGACTAATTTGAATAACTGTATTTATATTGACATTCTAAAACACACAAGTGTATAATATTTATTAAATAGGCTATTTTTAGAGACGGCTACATTAGGGAATTTGGGGGTATTAAGACAAAGGGGACTGACTACAAAGCAACGTCACAACTTATGGATTTTTACTTGCAATAACTGGACAAAATCCATGTTTTCTTGTCCATTCACTTCACAAATATGTCACTGTACATCTAAGGGGATATGCTTAGCTAAATTAGAAGTGTTAAAGTGAAGGACATCTGGGCATTGAGTTTCACTCAATGTCACTAAGCAGCTGTCCACAAAAATCTGACAATGTTTTGTTAGCTCTACACTTTGTGTGCTTTTCCTTCTTAAACAACCGTTGGATTCATGTGGCAAAGACAATCACCATGAGTATGTCTAACAGTCTGATATATGCAGGAAAAAACACAAGATACAATGAATGGAATAAACTGCCAATATGTTTATTTTTGTCTATTATCCCACTAAAAGCCCTCTCCATTCCAGTCTCTCCTTCTCCTTACTCCCTCAGGCCCATCACATTAGCATCTCTCCTGGCCAGGAAGGGGTTAACAAACCCGTTTAAGGGGAACCACAGAAAACAATACTTGAGCCCCAAAAAAGACAATGGCGGAGTCTTTCTTGTCCGTATTTGTAATTTAACATCAAAAGGCTCCTCTCCCAGCGACCTCTGAGAGCCAGCGTCTCTTTAATGAATCGCCCCACCCCCTTAATCACATTCAAATTGGTTAGTGTTCAGAAAATAGAAATATGTATTAGATAGCAATAAATTTTCATCATTGGCTAAGCCTGCTTCTTAATTGTCCTGTCCCAAGGCTTGGGAATTTCATTGTTCGTTAGGTGCTTAAGTCCCCCATCTCATTCAGTCTCTCTGACATTACTGCTGAGGGCTCTAATGCCCAACTAATTTGAATGGGGATTTACATGATAGAGCAGGGAGCATTAAAATGTGGAGGGAAGGGGAAAAAAGAGAAGAAAAAAAAAGAAAAAAGGGGGAAAAGGCTTCTTTCACTTCAAAAGTCACTTTGTTCAAAGTCAAATGACAGTGTTTAAAGATGCTCTATCTCGCTCCTCAGGATTTTGGACAGCAGTGCCAAGTTTAATGGTTCGTTATGTTAGCCCCTCTCTGTCTTCCTTACGTCTCCTTACCTTTTTTTTTGCAGCCAGCCACATGCTTTAGTGTTCCTTGACACCAAGCTGTTTCAGAATATACATCACTTCTTACACATTTTGAAGAATGAAAAATTAGACCAAAGTTCAATAATAAGATAATAATTCTGTTATTCACCATTACCTCCTCCCTCCTGTTTCTGCTGCAGGACACGCCGCCACGAGGGATTTAAGAACCTTGCTGCAGAATAAATGCCCACATCTTTGTGCACAAACAGCCTACATGTGTATCCAGGAGTGTGTAAACCAGAAAGCTGGGCCCACAGCTGTTATTTTGTTCCCCTCCAGTCGCCCATGTAACTCATTCTGACCAGTGTTTCATCCTGTTTGTTTTTAGAGTATTCCGAATTGGGTAGATATGCTATATGTGCTTGTGTGAACTGGGTTGTGTTTGTACAAGTGTGTCAGTTTTGGATGAGTATGGAATAGATGCTGCAGCGATAAAGAGAACGAGAACGCCTCACATTTTTCTGATCTTAGATAGTGTTTCCATGTACAGCAGTTCAATAATAAGAACCAATAATGTGTTTTGAACTTTTATATTTTCCTCATGCTACAAACAAAAACTTCAATGTATTTCATTGGGATTGTGTGCCCATCATAAAACTGTGTAATTGTGAAGTAGAAGGAAAATATGTGGTTCTGACGTTTTGTTTACACGTGGCAGCATTTTCAAAATGTTTGTATTGAACCACCTACTACCATATCTATACTTTCTAAAACAATTTTTTGCTGCAATTGCATCTGCAAGGTTTTTGTATATCGAGAAACTGATGGGTGTTGCTACACAAAAATACTCTGTCTCACACCACCCTATTGTAGCTCTATCTAGATATTTAGATTAATTGTGATACTGAAAGATGAACCTCCTTCTAAATCTTGCTGCATTCTTTAGACAATTTCTTTTGGGACGACACTCTATTCATTCCTATCCATCTTCCCACCAACTCACCTTTTCTATGGCAGGCAAAGAAAAGAATCCCCAGAGCATGATGTTGCCATTTTCATCACCGCAATTTTGTGTTCAGTTTTCCACCACATATAGCATTTTGGTGAAGGCCAGAGAGTTAAATTTTAATCTTCTGACCTTTGTTGCAAGTCGTGTTCCCCATAATACTCTTTGGCTTTTTATTCACAAATGCTCTCTAGTCAAACTCTGAGGCCTTTGGAGCAGAGAATAAACTGATTAGATCACACACAGATGGACTGTATTTACCAATTACACCTGAATGTATGTGTTTGCACTCCATTCTGAGAATGCAAACACAGATTTGTATTTCTAAAAAATATGACACACAAAATCAAAATAAAATACATTGAACACACAAACACTACATTTATTTGGACTCTGGTGTTTGTATTTCAATGTGTGCTATTGAAATACAAACACCATGGTTTCTACTACAGGATGACCTGCTGCATTGTAGGATTCAGCAGTATTTGGTTGAGAAAAGCTGAATTATGACCCGGTGTCATGCATTTCTGTTTACCATTTTTTAAATTATTGTTTGCCTCATTCTAGCCTATAAACACTGACACTTCCCACCTCCGATTCCCCATAATTAGTGTGTTTGCTTTGACCCGCATGTCACCACAGATGAGAGTAGGTTGCACGGGGTCAGAACTAATGAGAAAGAGAGATTGACCTTATTCACAGACTCGACCTGGGGCGAAGAGGGCATCGTCATGCAAAAACACAAAATAACACACAGTTCAAAAACTGATAGAAATTTACAGCATTTGTTGCTTCCATCAATGCTAATGGTGGCATGCTGGATAATTAGGAGTTAATAAAAGAAAAATACCGTGAGAGTGCACAAAAGGGAAGCCTAAATCAATTTTGATGGCATTCATAATGAGATTGGTGTTGGTGATAAATTATTTATAAATCTTTCTGTCAACACGTTATGGCCACATTCTCTAATTAAAAACATTTAGTTGGGATCTGGAAATGTCTTCCTTGGCTCTAAGTGCCTTAATGTAAAGCTGGTTATCAGAGGATATTGAACTAAATGCTTAGTGGTCTAAGGATCACAGTGAGAAAGGGGAAGGTTACCTGTGATAATCGTCTGTATCGATCTGTGTGCGTCAGGAGAAAAGCTGCTGCTTCCCAAGCAGCCGACCATGAATGGTTATTGATTCCATCATAAAGACCAACCATGTCCCAAACTTGTGCCGCTTTACGTAATCACCACTACTTTCTCTGATGGCACTCTGTCTAGTTCATAAATTGCAGCTCTCTTCCTCAGTAGACCTCTGCCACATTTTAGAATCATCTCTCCGAAATGGCTGGAGTCAATGTGCATCCTAAATTTATGTCCCATTTGTTTAATTTGTTCAACCCCGAATCTGTCTGTATTAGCCTTTATCACATCCCTCAAAAGCTGTCCTGCCCATAGCTCCACGTTCCTCAAAATAGGCAAATAGGCACAAAGACAACTGCAGAAGAAACACACATTAATAAGGCTTATGATGCTCCCGGACTAATGGAGCCGTATGCCCTGCTTAAACTGCCTCTGTAAAAGATTAGGCAGGCTCTGGTTTCGCAGTATTTGTGAGCTTGCCATTAGTGATAGCTGCTGGTTCCCTACTTAATCACATTGATAAAGCCCCACTGGAGCTTTCAACCGAAGCTATCAACAAATCCATTCTGAATTTGTGCATAGGTGCTAATGGTCATAGATGCGTGTCTATGCTGAGAACTTAAGGGCGACACTCTCCCACGATGCAGCTCTCCGATAAGCGAGATGTATGAGAACCATTAGAACACACAAGACTTCAGCTGCTGTCGCACGCATCTTATGTATGTTGGCTTTGAAGATCTGAATGGGGGAAAAAAAACTGAAGCCCATTTTTGAAAACGTCATGTCCCAGTAGTTCTATATTTTGTGCATTCTTATATGTCATATATCAGAATGAACTGTGTCATTGTGGTTTGCTACAGTGATGGCTCTCTGTTTGATTTGAGTTAATCTCACCACTACATTCTGTGGGTTTGCATTGTATTTTAAGAAATTAAGTACCAATATTTTTGGGTCAGCAGTTTCACAGGATTTCTATAAACTCTACATCAGTGCCGAATGCGTAGCATGCATTTTTCCTTTCTTCTGCAATGCAAAAAAAATGAAATAAAATAAACAATGTCATATGCTTAGTAAGATTATGACATTGTTTATTATTATGGTGCATTATTATTTGCATAAAAACCACACATCTTTATATGTCATTAAAGTGCATTTGAGATATGTAATGGTTTGTTGGATGTAACCAAATGAACACCTGCCAAACCAAATTAAAACATTTTCTCTCTTTTGCTCATAATCTCTAATCTGCTTCGAAATGAGTGATAAATAACTGAGACCTTGTCTAAGGCCTTTTGGACCAAGAGACTCAGCGTTATTTATTTTTTAAAGGTAACTAACATTGAGGGGCAACATACCGAGCGTATCTAAAATAAAAACAAATAAAAACATACAAAGCTGGTGTTTGGTAAAGTAATTATTTCAAGCGATTTCATTTAACCAATTTTGCGCTGCTAACACTCACTAATCACACATACCAGAGCACTACTGAAAACTTGTGCACACATCTCTAAAGTCCTTTTATGCAAACGGTAAGAAATTTATATCCTCATTTTGTGCTGGTTGTTGGAAAGTGGGTGTGATACCCTTTTTGAATGCCAGCATAGAAACAAAATATTACTCAAGGAACACACACAGACTTACACAAATAGTGCACATGCCCACACACACCATGGTCTCTTCCTCTCTGTCTCTCATAGACTCACACACACGTGCACAGACAAATGAGGCCTTAGTGAAATAAGTCGTGGGTTTTCTGCTATGGTCATGATTTCCTTCAGGGCTGTGAAAACACTATGCATATGGAGTCCATCTCCTCTATGGCTTAGCACTGAGGTGAACACACACCGTGCATCAACGTGTACACGCACACAAGAATAATATTCCTCTCTTTGTACAATCCAAAGTAAGTCTTTGGTTCTTGGTTGGTGTAAAAAAAAAAATAAAATAAAAAATAAACTGCATCAAAAAAGTAGAACTTAAAAGTTGAATTCACTGCTAAGGGAAGAAGCATCGGTCCCTTTTTTCAAAATATAAATGCAAGATCTTTTTTATCCTGAAGCCATTTATTTTACATGGGCATTATTTGTGTCCCTTTCCAATGAGGTTCAGAATCAGGTTGTTTATGTAAATTATATTTACTGACCCTTGGAGTGTCGTCCTCCTACAGGACTGATGCTCCTGTAGCTTTAGGGATTTGCGGATACAGATTCAGATGCACTGAGATCTGAGATCTTCAGAACAGAAACTATTTATGGTCCCTCACATTCGCTTTAGGACTAGCGGTGGTTGTTGGACCAAGATTGTGGCTTGAACTCCCACATTATGACTATTGTTGGACTCCATTGATACATTTAAAACTTCAGCTATTGTTTCAAACAAGCATTTTAGCCACATTGACCCCTTCACAGCAACTGTATGTTGCTATGATGCCTAATAGTTTCTTTCATTGCGTTCTCATTGTTTTTTACTGTCAACAAACGAAGACATTTCTTTTCTTGAGCTGTCTGTCACACAACTTTAGGGTTTTGACTTGGTACATTGTCTGCGTCCGAATTGATGAGCATATTCAGTAAAAACCTTATTGTGGAGCAGGCACACAGACACTTAGTGTGTGTCTCTCTGTTTTCTTTCCTGTGGAAGTATTGACCAGTGGCCAGGGGATAGAAGGTATTGACTGTGACTTATCCAGCTGTTTATATTTGAACCCTGGGTTTAACCTCTTATCGACTGACACACACCTCGCAGTTTGCAAAGTGTTCTACTCTGTTTCCCACTAATTGGCTGATGTTAAACAGTGATTTTGTGTATGACCATTTAACTGTGTGACACTCTCCTTTTGAATGTTCATGTAATAAAATAATATGTTAAAGATTTTACAGGGGGGAAAAAGAGCATAGCTTCAGATTATTTTCAGTAGGTGAAGCAAATATATCAAACAAAGACAGTTTCAATGAAGATGATTCTTTTTTTTAATCGTATCTTTTTCAGTTTTCTATTACCTTTGTACCACAGCAAGTTCTCAGAGATCTTCTGATGTAATGGTAAGTTTATTATTTGGCTTAATCACATGCTTCTCATTCCATGATCACAACTTTCTAACTATATCTTGACTCGCAAGATGTCACCGTCATACTCTACGTAGGAACTTCTTGCAGACACACTGAGACAATAAACACACAGTTTGCCTCAGAAGGTGATACTAAAAATCAATTCGTTACATTTAGGCCTTAAAAAAAAAGAAGAAGAAGAAAAAAAGTTATGCTTTTGTCTGTTTCTCTCTGTTTTGCAGTGCCACTGACCTCGCACCAACACCCGACCAGAGCTGGTTCAAAGAGCCACTTATAATGTGTGAACCCACATGTGTTTGTGTCTGTCTGGGACTCAGTGTCAGACTTTCACAAAAGGAAGTAAAAGGAA